GTCATTTTTTTCCCAATTATTTGCTGAAATAGGAATTCAGAATCTGCTCGTTTTGAATCCGAATTCAGGCACCCCCTCCACAAGTGAGATCATCGCCAGAAAGGGAAACCAAGATTGATTTGAGTGCTTCGGCCGCCATTGTTGATCAGAAGCCCCTTTTATTGAATCTCGATAAAGTATGTCGATTTTTGGAACATTTTTTTTAATAATAATAATTATTTAGCCTCAGAGGTTTGAATGTGTTTGTATTGAATAGTTTGATATTCTTGTTTTTTTTTTCGGCAGGATATGAAGCCGGTAGTGGTGTCGAAGGACACCGAGAACTACAAGGGTGAAAATGGAAATCCGAACATTCTATCGTTGAATGTGGCAGCTGAAGAAAAGAAATCTGAGGAGAGTGAATCTAACAAGACAATCGAGAAGAAGGCGATAGATACTGATTTAAGTCTTGATTTGGTGGAAAAGCCGGTAAGAGAAAATGTGAGCTCTAGCGTTAATGCGAACGGTAACAAATCCCCAATCCAGATTGAAAAGCAACAATTGCCTGCTAAGGCACCAAGCAAAGAAGAGCCTCCTTATGAGAAACCTGGTAATTATTTTTGTTTTTTTTTTTTGTCACAATTTTCAATTTTTTTTCGAAATTTGACAAGATTTTGATCTTGACTTTTATTTATTTTTGGGTTAGGTCATTCAACAAGCTCAGTGCCTTTACCCATGTCCATGGCTAGTTGGCCCGGTGGGCTTCCTCCTATGGGGTATAGTCGGTTTAATTATTGCCACATACTTTTGGAATTTCAAATTGGCAATATCTATTTTTTTTTAAGGTCTTTTTTTCTTCAACAACAGATACATGGCCCCATTGCAAGGTATGNTTGTTTAGCCGCTTTTTTCTCAACCACGACCAAAACGTTGTGCCACACATTGCCACATTGCCAGGAACATACACTGTCTCCAGCAGTTGATGAAGATGAACCCTTTCTGGCCCGCTCCATCCGGGTCGCCCGCTTCTTTATTCGGGCAAAAACCTTGCAATCTTAACGCGGGCCCTCCACAGCCCAATTTGGCCACTACTCCTTCCAGAGGTGTTAGTAGTAGTAGCAGTAGTGGCCATGACAAAGCAAAACAAGCCCTTGCCTCTACCCCTAATAATAATATTGCTAAGGACAAAAATTCTCAACCTGCTAATAGTTCCGAATCTGCACAAAGAAAACAGCAGCAGCAGCAGATTTTGATCCAGCAAGCTTTGCCCCCTGTGCCACCTAGCAATTTACTTGTAAGCCCCTAATTCAACTCATTCTCATCCTTTTTCCTTGTTTTTCTATTTTTTTTTTCATTTTTTTTTTCTGTTTATTAAAATTCAGGCTCCAGCATTCATTTTCCCTCTAAACCAGGCCTCTCGTCCGCCAGCCGGAAAATCCCCGACAACAGTGCCTTCTCCAAATGCGGCCATTACTGCCACAACAGCGCCAATGAGCTTCAGCTACCCAAACATGTCCCCAAACGAGACTACACAATACTTAGCAATCCTCCAAAATAATGCTTACCCTTTTCCAATCCCACCAAACTATCGAGGAGGAGGACCTTCGGCTGCTCAAGCCATGCCTCTCTTCAATGGCCCCTTCTACCCCTCACAGCTCATCCACCAGTCAAATGCGTCTGCTGCACCGAATAATAATTCCTCAAAGCATCAAAGGCTGCCGCCCCAGAACAATTTTCCCTCCTCGCAACAGAAAGCTCACACCAATCATGGAGGTGAAGATGCCACGTCAGCCAATGATAATAATCGCGTGTCACGAGGAGCTAATGTGAATATGTACGGGCAAAATTACGCTTTTCCCATTCACCCGCAGAATTTTGCTTTGATGACAGCTCATCCTAATAATCCGAATGAGACAAAAAAACAACAGCCCCATCAGCAGCAGCAGCCGGGATTGCATAAGTCTGGTGGGGGAGTCGAGACATTGCCGCCACCTCATACGTTTGCTATGTCGTTCAACAACGGGGCTCCTCCTGATAATAATAGGGTGCAAAACCCTGTTATTTTCCAGAACTTTCCGGAAGCCGCACGGCAGAGTGTCCAAATGATGGCTGTTGCGCCACCGCAGAAGAGCTTCCGGATTTCTGAGGAGGGTAAATCCGTAAATGTCGACACCTCCTCGTCCAAGGAGGACGAGAGAAAAAGCTTCGTGTCGTCTTCAGTTCAGGGAAATACTGCTTCTCGACCCTCAATGACCAGCGGCATGACATCAGCAATGAATGTGCCCAATGCACACGTCCAAGTGCAAGCGCAGCTTCATCAGCAGCAAATGCTTCAGCTTAAACAGCAACAGCAGCAGCAGCAAATGGCGGCGGCTGCTAATGCCGTTAATCGAGGCAAAGTGCCCGTGACCAACAACGGGAGCATATACTCTTCTGACCATTTGACTTCCAAATTTCAAAACACAATCTCACCATTCCCACAGAACATCATCCAGAGCAACAGCCCAAGCCCAAGCCCAAGCCCATCTCAGTCTCCCCAATGGAAGAAGGCGGGCCCACAAGCCCAAGGCCCATCGTCTCTTGGGCCGACAGTTGTATCATCCATGCACAAGAACATCAGTCACCAGCATTCTCGAACTCAAATATCCTTTGGAGGTAATAATCAAAAGCAATCGGTAATTAACTCACAAGGGCAACAACAACAAGCAGTGCCGCCACTGCCTTCTAATAACAGCAATCAAGTTGGGTCACCCACGACTTCTTCAATTTCCAAAGGAGCAAATAGTGGGAGCCCGAGAACAACTTCATCCGCCTCAACAAACCACAAAACGGGCCACGGCCCATCATTTTCTACTCAGCAGCCCAAAAACTCGCCTTCCATCCAGAAATCGCCCTCGATTCTCGGAAATCATCCTCATGGGCCGAAAAACCAAATGCAACAGCAGCAGCATTCGCAGCCCAAGACCATGCAGCAGCAGCAGCAGGCCCAGGCCCAGTTATTCTTTTCGAGCCCATATACCCAATCACAGCCCCATTACTCAGCAAGCCCAGCTGTTACCAGCTCAAGCGGATATTACATGACACAAAGACGGTCCAACGGGCCTGACCAGCACCAGCGAGGCCCGGGTGGTGCTCCTATGATGTCATTAAGCACTACTACAGTCTCAATGCCTAATAATAGCACAAATGACCCAGCTTCAGCAATTGCAGCAGCTACTTGTAATGCGAAAGGCGGAGGTTTGCAGTTACAGAGCATGATGCATGGGTCACCATTTGGTGGCCAATCGAGCGGGATTTTGCCAGCTGGGTTCTCGTACGTACATCCTGTGGCGGCTGGAGTTCAGGTGAAACCTGCTGAGCAAAAGCAGACTAACGGTAAGTGAAATTGATCTTATTTTCTCTTTTTACCTCTTTGGTTGATGAGTGGATGATTAATTGTTTACAAAACCCAATTCTTGGTTGGGATGTGTGAGTTAGACTGTATTTTTTTTTTTGAAATTGATGTGTAGTGTGAATTTATGGTTCGATTTTGATGATTTCTTGACCAGGAAATGACAATTTGCATCCATGGCAGCCTGAGAAGAAATGAAAAGGATCTTGCAGTGGAATATCTGACCTGATAATGGTATGATGGCGTGCACGGCTCTTGTGGAGTGAGAAAAAAGGATGGTGGTGAATGTAGCTGGCCTGAAGTGTATAATGCTCTGTGAAATCGAGATGAAATGTGTGTTTGTGTGTACACTCATCTATATGTTGGCAGGGTTCTTGATAGGTAAATATGCTATTTTGAAACTGCAGGTAGTTTTGATGGCTTTGGTAGGGAAGGTTAATGATAATCAATTATTATTATTTTTTTTTTTGGTTTTGTTTTTGTATGGACAAGAAGTTAGATGTTAGAAAACAGATGAGGAGTAATTTGAGAAGATATTCCCATCTGGGTTTTGGTTTTTAGGTAGTGGAAGTTCTTTTTTCATTCTGAAGAAAAAAAATATATATCATTTGTATCTCATGTTAGCTCTTTTACTGCTGCAAAATTGTCTTTAACTTTTGTTCTGAAATACTCAAAAGAAAAGTAGAAGTGAAAAATGCTAGTATTGAGGGTGTACATATTTGTTTATGTGCAAGAAAAGATTAATCTCTCTCTCTCTCTCTCTCTCTCTCTCTTATATAATATGATCTGTTAAACTGGAGCTTGTTTGTCATTGTGATGTAATGATGATTTTTTATTATCTTTGTGGAAAAAAATTGGAGTCCAAAAAGGCTGTAGTGTGGTGGTTGTGCAATTGGTCCAAAAGGGTGTGGTGTTGGATGGTTTCTTTTTGTTTGTTTGGATGTGATTTTAATGTGATGGTGGGGAGTATGTGGTCTCCATTTAGTTATAAGATATTTTCTTTCCTTTTTGTTTTCATATATTTTATATTAATTTTTCTTGTCATTCAAATGCATGCAACTACCACAAATTTATCTCTTTTATAAATGTAAGTCATAATGAATAAGAGACTNTCTCAAAAGTAAAGAATCAACAGCACCATGAGTTGTCAATATTCTGCATTCAATCTATATTTACTTGTAGAATTTGTTCTCATTCTCACTTGGAATTTAAATTTCCTTTTGAATTAATATAATTGTTTAGCTTTAATATTTTGTCTTTTTTTAACTTGACGATCATCATTGAATAGGATCTCAAATTTTGAAAAAAATCCACCGATGTGTGAGTGTTCTTTTTTATTGTTAAAAAAAGTGATCTTTTTATTCTCTATTGTCCCATGCTAATTATAATGTTTTTCTATTTGATGGACTTTTGTTTTCTCATGTCATTACTATATTGTACATGAGTGCTTAATTAACTGACTCACTAAGCAAGGATGTTGACTAATCAAATCGATGAATTAAGTATTCGAACTTATGAGAACAAGTGTCTTATTTCAATGTCAATGTTAGTTAATCCAACTGGGAATATTAGGTGCTCATTAGTCAGATGCTAATAACGACAATGTAATAG